ACTAGGCGTTTAGTGCACATACACAAGGATCTCATACTAGACAAATAGAGAAACTAAAAACGAAAAATTTTTGAATAGTTTTTTAAGCGTTTCAGCTTCATTTCGGCAATTGGCAGGAGAAAGTGTCATTACTAATGGTTTCATGTGATGCGTCATATATTTCTCCACATACATACTATATTCATACCTACAACTTGTTTCCGCACAGAGAATTAGTTTGTTTAGGCTCGTGTTTCAAAGTTAAAGAGTTGAGAGATTGTTGTAACCATAATAATGTAGCCTCCTCTTCTGTAGTGGCATTCCGGCCTTGAGTAGGTTAATAACATATAAAAAACCTGGCTATGTAGTGCTTTTACACCGTTAATATATCATTCTTAATCCTTTAAACACATTAAAAAGTTTTAGAAAAAGTTTGGAGAATACTGTGATCGAATCGAATAGAAACACAGACGATTCGTATAAGACGGGAAGTTTAAATTAAAAATTCACCTTACTTTTTGATCACAGTAGTACATTAACTTATATATAAAAGATAACAATTGATATTAGTACTTTATTTAAAAATTTAACAAATGAAGTGAAATTTATTACATTTATTTACATAATTACTTGACTTTTTACATAATTACTTGACTTTTTACATAATTACTTAACTTTTTACTTTTTACATAATTACTTGACTTTTTACATAATTACTTGACTTTTTACATAATTACTTGACTTTTTACATAATTACTTGACTTTTTACATAATTACTTGACTTTTTACATAATTACTTGACTTTTTACATAATTACTTGACTTTTTACATAATTACTTGACTTTTTACATAATTACTTGACTTTTTACATAATTATTTGACTTTTTAGATCATTATTTAATTTCACTTTTATGATTCATTACGCTTTTAATTAAATAAATAAATTTTGAGCACTAACATTTTATTACTCGTAAAACTATTAGAAAATATGAATATAAAAAAAAAATAACTATTAGAAAATGTAAATATAAAAAAAATAAAAAACCTAAGCTTTGTTGATTTGATTGATTGATTGATATTTATTAGAACAAAGTATAAATACATGTTCTAAAAGACACGAAGGCCAATACAAAGATGGACACTAATAGCGTGCCCAAAGAAATTTAAAAATATCGCTACAAAAAAAAATAATAAAACTATAAAAAAAACAAATAGTTGTTCTTTTTACAATAGATATTTGTTAAAGTCGAAAGATTTAATTTTATTTTTGAACGTTAAAATGTTATTTGCATTTACAGCCTCCGAGGTCATATTGTTCCACATGTCAGCAACTCGGTAAGAAAAGCTATATTTTCTTAAATCCAATTGACAAGATTGTTTGCTTATTTTATAATTATGTCCCCGGGTGTGGCTATTATTGTCAATCACAAAGAACATAGATTGATCAGTACATACAAGTTTACGAAAAATTTTAAAGCAAGTTACTAAGTTGCTCGTTTTTAAGGCGCCGAACTTCGAGTGGATCGATACGAAGCAACTGTAATCTATTATGATAAGAAAGATTTCTAAGGCTCCTTATTTTTTTTGTAAATTTTCGTTGGACACTTTCAACTGATTTAATCAATCCAATATGGTGTGGCGACCATACTGGAGAACAATATTCTAAAATTGGTTGTATATAGGTAGTGAAAGCTCTAACTAGGATACATGGGTCACGTATTTTAAAACATTTCAAAATTAAGTATGCTCTAGAGTTAGCTTGATGGATGACGTTAAAAATATGTTTTTTATAATTAAGGTTACAGACCATTGTTATTCATAGATCTTTTGGGTTTGAAGACCAAGCCAAAGAATATTCACCTAATTTATAGTTAACCTTTATACCTTTGCATAATGAGGGAGGTGCTATTATAAGTGAAAAACACTTACTATAAGCAATTGCTAGTTGCCAAATTTCTCCCCATTGTACAAGTCTATTTCAAGCAACAACTAAATCTTGGCTCAGATCCATATCACGGTACGAGCTATATCACGGTATAACTTTATATCATCCGCGTAAAGTTTTACACAACAGTCCAGATTATTATTTATAGCGGTTAAATCATTGATTAATGATTTAACCGCTTTTCGTGCAGCTTGTTTGCAAAATTCGTGCAGCTTGTTTGCAAGGCTTTTAGCATTTAAAAGATATACATAATTTTTTGAATAAGGATTCGAAGAGCACCCATTATTACTATTGCAGCCATTATTGCCATTGCCGTTTATTAAATTTAAATTGATTGGTTTGTTGCTACATTTTTTTGTATAAATTATTTTGTCTGGTTTACTCTATTTAGATATAAGATATTCACAACTAATACGTGACGAATTTGCAAGTTCTGTTGCACAATGACTCATATGACTTAATTTCATGTTGTTAAAAAGTAATTGCTATTTTACGATTTTAACGACTCTGTCGTTTCTAATACCATAATAATATAACAAAAGTTCTGAATTTTCTAAATCATTTTTTTTTACATTCATCTCGTAACAACTTTGCTTTATATCTTTCTGCCTCGGTTAAATTTTAAAATTGAATTGCGATCAGTCTTATTATTTAAAGCAATAACAAAAGGTGGTTGGTTATCTATTTTCGATTTGAGCTTTATAATCTGCTTAACTTCGACTTTCAGATTAATTGAATTCATAACTTCTTGGATTGAATTTTTATCCTCCTTAATTGCACTTGATTTATCGATTGCTTTCGATGGAATAATGTCAAATATTATTACATTATTACATTATTTTATTTGTTATTATTACATTATTATTGAATAAAAATGTTTGTAAAAAAAACTTTGACGTCAAAAATGTTTTTTTAGTGGTATACTAAAATGAATATTGTAAAGTAAAAAAAACTTTCTACGCGTTGTATTATAAATTATTTATAGATTGAACTAGAGATTGTTGCCAGTCGTTGCTCCCTAGAGATTTTACTAATCTCTTAAAAATTTATAAGTTAAAGATATTTCTCATTTTTGATGGAAATTAATTTTTTTTTTTTGTCTCACAGCATCGTTTTGATACTTTTTAGTTACTTAAAGTTTTACGTGGGAATATACGTCAAAGTGACAGTTGTCATTTTGACGTATATTCCCACGTAAAGCAACTTTATATTCCAGCTGTATATTCCCTCGCGAAGCAAACTTTTTGCTCTTGTCCCTTACTACAAATAATAACGCGGATAACATTGCCTTAAAAAAAGCGTTAAATGTCCATATAGGCCTTTTTTTTTTTTAATTTTTTTAGGTGCCCCAAGAAGTCCTTACGGTCTTATGACAGAGCACAGTGGAAGAGCATTTAATAGGAAGTTCACGTCTCCTTCCCAACCGATGTCGCAAAACTTGCCCCGATAAAGGGTTTGAACCATAGATCTTATGTTTCTGAGGCAAGTACGCTACAACTGCGCCACGTCATAATGACGACTTTCACAAATATCCTTTTAAGAATATCTCTACTTTATCAACAATTTCAAAAATTAGAAAAAATTATTTTCATACTTATTTTAAGGAGAAGAGATTTTTATATAAAAATCAATTAGATTTTAAAAGAAATTTGACGATGAAAACATTACTTGGAAGCATTATATTGATTATGTTGGTACTAAAGTTTCCAAAAATATTGGAATTCTTTATAAAGCTAGAATCTATACAAATAAAAAAGTTTTATCCCAAATTTATTACGCATTCATTCAAAGTTATATGAATTATGCAAATATTACTTGAGCAAGCACTGAAAAAAGTAAGTTCCAATCTCTCCAGCACCGTCAGAAACATGCAATATGTGTAATTAATATTATATATATATATATATATATATATATATATATATATATATATATATATATATATATATATATATATATATATATATATATATATATACAGTGGCGGAACTACTGGACGCAGGACCCTGCGTTGCGGGGGGGGCCTACCAGCTTTAGGGGGCCCTCATATAAAAAAAGTTATACTCTCAATAATATTTATACTATAAAACTCTTTTCCGCAAAAAAAAACATTCTTTTGCGGGGGGGCCCAAATTTTGAAGTTCCGCCACTGTATATATATATATATAAAGTTGTTTAAGTAAGAAAAACGATCAGCAAAATTAATTACACGTATTGCATGTTTCTGTGTGTATAAATATATATATATATATATATATATATATATATATATATATATATATATATATATATATATATATATATATATATATATATATATATATATATATATATATATATATATATATATATATATATATATATATATATATATATATATATATATATATATATATATATATATAATAATAATATAGCAGATTTTCTATGTCACTTTTAAAGTTTTAAAATTTATTAAACTGAATTAGCACCATAAATTTAAAAATCTAGACCATTTAACAATATTAAGAATTTCAATGTCTTTCATTGAAAATATATATCCTCTTAAAGTTACCTACAATTTTCTTGATATATTTTATAATATTGGAACAGAATTTTTATTTGAATTTTGAATTATTTTGAAAGAAAATAATATATACAAGTATATATATCGAATCAAATCCAGTTTATAACCAAAAACAAAAAATTTTTGTAATTTTTATTACTATATTTCATCATTTCTTTTTCTTTTTTTTTTTTTCAATTATTTTAATACTTTTTTTTTTTTTTTTTTTAATTTTATTTCTTAACATTTTAAAATTGTCTTTTTTTAAATGCTTTTGCTTATATATTACGGATTATTATACATTTATTTGCGTTACTACTGGGGCTCGGTGATAAGGCTATTTTATGCCTTCTTCTTGCTCCAGCCAATTGTACTTTTTATATTGTTGTACTTTGTGAATATTTTTAACGGCGAAATAAACTAATAAACTAAACTATATTTTTTACAAGCTCTTGCCAATAAGAAACTGAAACATCGTTTTTAAAATTAGTTCTAAGAAAATCCCTGCGCAAAAGAGCAAATGATCTATTT